CCTCCACCTCCACCCCCCGCCGCCCCCCTCCCCGGCACCCCGCCCGCCTCCGTCACGCCTTTGCTCCGCGACTTCTTCCCGCTCGACGGCCCTCGTCCCCCTGACGCCGACGGCAGCGCCAAGTGCGGTGCCGCCTTCAGCAAGGGAGCGGGCGGAGGCAGAATCGGTCCCGCGTGCCCTACCTTCTGCTTCTTCCTGTTCTGCGACACCGAGGGACTCGGCGACGGCTCCCGATGATGCGCAACCATTCCAGGATCCTCCCCTGTCTGCCTCCACGTCCGTATCCTCTGCAGTGTCTCGTCCTGCCCCACCTTCCCCAGCATCTCCCTGTGCTGCTCATCCGCCACCCGAAGCTCCTTCCTCATGTCCGACATCAGCCCCTCCTTTGACCATGTGATCACCTCCGATTGCGCGCTGAATGCCCGAAGCAGAGACAGATACGCATCCAGCTCTAGCTGCCGGATCTGCAGCTCGATGTGGAACGAGCTCGACGGCTTCCCGTTCCCGCTCGGCCGACCCTTCGCACGGGCCACCCCCGACGACCGCATCACCTGCGTCGGAGGGAGGTCGTCATCGTCGGTCCCATCGCTGTCCGACTGGTTGTACACCATTATGCCACCTCCTCCCCGACCTCACTCACCTCACCTCCTTGCGTCCACCTGCAATCCCCCGCAGCGCCCTCGATCGCTCACTCACTCACCGGGACCCCTCACCGCACGCGACAACACCATCAAACCCTGAAACACACATCACACCACCTGTGAGCACCACTCGCTGCGCCACGTCCTCCGAACCGGCGACCCTCATGCCCCGCCCAAATTCCCATCCCCCATACTCTCTCCGTCGTCTCCCGCTCACAAATTCCTAATGCAATTCCTCCTGAATCCTGATCGTACCCGACCCTTCATAACTCCACCATCGGCCCCTTTCTCCCCCCGACCACACCGCCGCGACCGCGTTCTGCTACTCCCTTGCCATTGCCGTCCCACGCCCGATCTCCCAGAAATCACTGCAACCTCACACCCTCATACACCTTCCTGTCGCACTCAAACATCTACCGCCTACCACAGCCGCTGCCTCGTACCCCGCTTTCACGACACCCACATGTTCCGGGTCGTCCCCGCAAAGTGTACATACACAACAACCAGCACAAACGCGCAGAACACGAAAAAGGAAGAAAGAAAAAACGCCCTCAGCTAACCAGTGCTGCGAAACATGCACCAAAACGCATATCCTTGGAAACTCCGCCTCCAAACTCTTCTTTTCTGCAAGCTAGCCCGAGAGAAACCAAAAGAGAAGGACAAAAATGTGAGGCCTAGGGTTTCGTACCTCTAACGATCGTCACCATTCCGGAGCGCCACGGACCCCGTGCCCGCCTGCTGCTCACAGCTATTGCCAGCAAAGCATTCAACACAGTATAGAGGCTCCGGGCCAGAGCGACTACCGAGCTCAATCCAGTCGTGGTGTACACGGAGCCGTCCAGCAGAGTGTGTCTGCTAAGCCTGCCTCGAGGACGCGAAATGCACAGACCTATGTTAAACGCTCTTTCCGGAGCGCAGAAGAACGGGAGCTAGTGCGCGAGAGCGAGATGAGCGTCGTCGAGCTGTGCAATTGTAACGCGCCGTGGTGTGGACACATGGTGTGGGATGTCTGTCTCGCCGTTGCAGGTGGTGTTGGTGGTGGTACCCTTTTCCTGATCTCGAGCTCCGATGGCGGAGCTTCCCTGTTTCCTTCGAGCCTTGTCCCGCGTCTTTCCTCCCTCGCTCTGAAGCTGGCCAACACTTTCTTTCCTGAATCTCTGAGGTCACCCACTCGCGCATTTCCCAGTGCGTCGCTCTGCCATTACCATCGGCTTTGTTTGAATGAATGTCGTCCAACAAAACACTTACTTCGTTTGATGGTTTTCGTCGCGCGTGACACACCACGTACTTCCGCGAATTTTGATTCATCAGCTGGTATTCACAGGGTATCGTCATTGATGTGTACGTATATATATATTCTAAGAGAGAGGTTGTACTTTTGATTCAAAAAAAAATCAAATAAATCTATCATAATAAATTATTTTAATCATCACATTTGAATTTTAGTGTGAAGTAATGTTTTTGAGGATACCAAAAATACAATTTCCTTCATACTCTTTTAAAAACCAAATTCTTTAATATATAGATATGTATAGTTACTTAAAAAACATAATAAATAAGCCCATACCAATCTTCTTAATTTCTTCTAAAACTACACTTACAAGAGATTTTTAAATTAAATTATTTAATTAATAATATTTTATTTTAGTTATTATTTGAGTAAATAACTCTATTGCACCTATGAAACATATGATGAGATTGAATTACATTGAATTAGCAATAATTAAATATTGTGGTTCACATAAGTAGAAGAAAATATTAAAATGATCAATCCATTTACTAAATCAATTCACCCTATCATAACCATCATTTGAGAAATAGATCATCTTTATAATCCATTGTTACAATCATGTCCTTCATCCCAACCCCTCTTATTGCTAATCCACACTCCCCTTGTTTCCAACCTTCACCATCTTGGTCCTCCCTCTTTATTCATTTTCCTTTGTTAAGAGCTCTCATCCAAACCCTCATTTTATCCACAATAGGGTAGGCCAAATTTGTAAATGGGTGGGTCATTTTAACTTTTTCTTATATATATATATATATATATATACACACACACACGAAGAGAGAGATACAGACACCAAAGATTGTCTTTGATATTTATTGACAATCATCATATATATGTACGTTTTGTATAAAATTAAAGTTACTACAAAAATTAAGATAATGGCTTTTCTTTGTGGAGTGTGTGCACCTAACAATTCCCTCCATTTATTTTTAACTTTTGAAGATTGTTCTTGTTGTGTCAATTACATCTAGATGACCACATAAAGTAAAAGCCATTATATCTTAAATGTTTCAAACACGTTGTGCACAGTTCTGGAAGAAGAATTATATTTAAGCTTACATTATGGATTTGAACATTGTCTGCATTTCAAATAATATCTTTTAATGCTTGATATAAATGTACACACGCGATTTGCCTTGATTTTTCTCAGCACATGTTAAAAGATTATGTTATTGTTATCATCTAGGCGTCTAAAATAGCTTTGTAGAACAACTCTCTCCTATTCCAAAACCTAAGTGCTACTGTTTATACAACGCAATCTAATTCTAATCAATTCAAAATTATTACTTTGGCCACAACTGCCAAATGTAAAATTTACTGATGAACCAGAAACTTTTAACTCGGTCTTGTCTGATGCACACTATACTTGAAGTTCCAAAGAAGAAGATTTAATTACAAATAATACAATACAATCAATGGGCTATTTACACTTCTGCTAGTTATACTGTCTACTTAACAGAGCATAGATAGTACTCAATACGAATATAATTGCACAAACATCCTACTCATTTATTTCATACCCAGGTTGTAGAACATAAGAATTTCGTTCATCGATTAATACCTACATGAGGTTGGTTGTTTCGACCAGACAATATTCTTTCGGGTTAAAAATTCTCGCGACACAATCTTGAGAACAAATAGGTTGTGTAAAACCAGAGTTGAAGAAACGCTCTAATTCTTGTTGGCGTTTAACCTTCGCTTTGGGCAGCCAGTCATGAGACAAAGTTATTTCATGTTTTCATAAATTGAAATACTTCATTCGCTGCTGAGCACACACAATCCCGAGGCATGGAGCAACTTGAGAACCTTGCTTCGAATACTGAATGAACGCCCACAAATGTCCACCAAACCGAACTACGAGATGTGACTTTTTTTAGCGTAAGAATCATGAGAAACAGAACGAAATTTACTCATCTAAGCAAATTGCAAGGTGGCTGCACCACTGCTCGTCTACAAATCGCATGTTCGAACTCCATCCTCTAAGGAAAGCTAGAGATCAGGCATGGAACGAACGTATGACCTAAACTCATCTCCAGTTAATTACTGCAACATGATGGTACGTCTGATGAAAACATGATACTGTCGGTGCTGTGAAGGTTACCAGCATGGTTCACACATTCATTGTAGCTAGCTGCGAGGCAAGTTCCCTGTATTTATCTGGGCTGTGCTCTTCTGCATAGTGTGCCACAAAGTCTCCATCTTCATACTTATCCAGATCCTGTGTAACTGGACTATTCATGTACCTGCAGACAGCTATCAAAACTTCTGAGACAATGTCCTCTGGCATATTCCGTAAACAACGGTCCTGAGAGAAACAAGCGTGCTTGGTCTTCCATAAAGTCACCCAACAATACACTAAATGCACTTACTAATGCATTATGAAATACATAAGTGCTGCAACAAGTAAAACGATTCAGAGACTACACGTGGAGAGTAATTTATACACGCAATCAAGAAATAGTACTCGTAGGATTAAAGCACAAAACCTGAATGGAATTATGGCAACATGTTCATTGAACTCGTCAGCATTCTTCATGCGATACAGCATCACTTCATCACGCTCCAAATTCTTTTGAAACATGGAGGATTGGTAGAATTTGTGCACAGATTCCAAGAATCCCTGCTCAAGCCACAGTGGCCCATCATTGAATCTACGCAGAGTAGCTACGAATAATCATCCAATCGAACAGATCTCTTTGGAAGTGAAAATCTCAAGCATCAAGATCCATCTCTAGTCCACATTACAACCGATCACTAACATGAGGCGCACGCACATACATGTGTATATAATACCTTACTTCCATGGTGATAGGGTGCAGAATCCGAGTCATTAGAGGTTCTACAGTTCTAGTACGCAAGCTGTGTGACTGATGCTTTTTCTTTTAATATTGCCTCCACTGCATTAAATTTGTATAATCTTCAACTAACTATTTCCAAGTTATTGAAGGGAAGAAGTTACAACAGTTCAAGAACACACACCAATAAATCACTTACCTTGATGCTGGAGGAACATAACTGTATCAACCAATTCTAACGTGGACCGATAAGAACTTATCATCGACTATTTTAAAAATTAAAATCCACAATTAAAAAGCTAAAGAAATTGAAGAGACCCACCTTGATCCACGGGGTGTTGCGCATAATGTAAACACCAGTGTTTATAAACGACTTTGGAGTGGCTTCGCTCTGCCTGTCCTGCTGAAAATCGTTTGTGTATATAGCGTCTTTATCTTTCAAATCATAAACTTCTAGCTCAAGGATACTCTCTATCCTTATAGTATTGTTTCGGATGATTGCATCTGCATCCATAGCGACCACGATGTCGGTAAAGCTTAACAACAACATCATCGCTTTCACCTTCGTCCACGCCGGAGGGCGGGAAGATTCCAAGGTAGTTGATACTTCACAGTATCTGTATCCGTGAATTGATGCGTATGACAACCGATTTCTCCGCAACTGCACCAGATAAGCCTGCCATCATGGTATCAACCCTGCTGCCAAAGTCAGCGGCCCATAAGACCTACGAACTCTAATCGTCTTCAACAGGATAGGCACATCCACAAATCTACTCAGCTTGATTCTTTGGCAATCGAGATCCTGCAACTTTTTGATATTCAGTTACTTCAATTCCACCACTACGCTAAAACTTTCTCGCTCTCTGTTTCTCTCGCTGTCGCTCTAGCAACTAAACCATACATAATGTATGCGTAGGCGTCATTGCCACCGCTTTCAACTGGACGTAGAAAGGAAGGAGTAATTTTTCGCCAAATAAAGAGAACTGCGCCTTTAAACTGTCCCCTACCAAAAACACGCACTTCTCAAGATGCCGCACAAATTAGAATTAGCTGTACATTTTCCTGACAACCGTGACTTGATTGGTAATGTCTGAATTGAATCTGTAAGGTCTTTTCAATTAATAAATAAATAAATTAAAAACTTTAAAAATGACTGTTTCTGGTAGATAAAATCTTAAGGTGTAAACTGTGATTTGGACCAGAATCTGCTGGATGCGAAATAAACTGCACAATGTCAATCTCTTTGTTAAATTACGTAAGCATGTTCTTGATGAAAGTACCGGAGTAAATACCTTTGGGAGGTCTATGGTCACAGTTAAGATGGTGACATTGCCTAGACCAAAACATAGAGAGTTCGGCTTCTCTATCCAGCGCCGCTGCTCTTGCTCTGCTCGTGTGATAGGGCTTAACACAATAGTTGTTGTGTTGTGTACTAACGAATCGAGTCCTGGGGGCGCCTCTTCATCTGAATCTGCAAGTCCACTCAGCTAATTATGCCTTCAGGAATTTCAAAGGCGCGTATTCATGGACGACGGATAGATCCAAGAGATCATTCCAAGAAAGCGCCTGAGTAGAAACAATTGCATAACAGAGGCGAAAATTGTTTCTCAAGGAATCGCTTCGAATAAAGATTCCTCTGTATGTGCAAAGCGAAAATAAGTGCATTTCCCGAACGGGTCTCCGTTGGTTTAAATACATGTCAAAGAGAAATCAAATTCGCTGGCGGAGTGCGAAGCCAACAGTCCCTAATCCTCAGCCATTTTCTACGTCTCTCTCATGTATTAGATCAGAAACAAATGGGCAGCTACAACTGAGAAGAAAGTATTCGATAGAGGCCTTAGAGCAGTACATTTTCCAACGAGCGTCTGAACCATTAGTCACTATACAACTGGTCAGATCTGTCACGAAAAAGACTTCACGCATCTACAAAAACACGCGCGACACGTAAATACGTCACGTACATAGCTAAAGCATTGTATGCAGATGCAAGAATCTCACAATAGACGGAAATGTACCAGAGCTGGAAATCGGAGGCGCGGAGCGGAAATGAGCAAGCACAGCATACATTGCGGCCAAGAACGACACGGCGTAGAGCACCTTGTAGCAAAACCGCGCCCATCTCATAGCTGTCGTCCGCCTGACCCTGCTAGAGGCAGACCACGACTTCGGAGATCCCATCACCGCTTATTTTCTCCCTCACCTTCTTCACAAGCCTCTGCACATCCACTCCATCCCGTCCTCGCAGTTTACAAACTCCGCGCCATGTCTACGCCCGAGCTATTCACACCCGAAACAAACACCGCTTCCCGTAGGCGCAGTAACACCACGCCTGCACCACACCTACACCCGGCCCTCAAGCGGATGCTCTTTCAACCAGATCCGTCAACAACCATCACACACCTCCCAGAATAACCTCAATCCAAAAAAAGGAAGAAAAACTATGTTGAATGAACGGATTTTCCAGCAACCAGAATCTTAAACCTATTCCCGAAGCCCCGAGAAGGCTGTCCTCCACGACGCCGCACGCGGAGCTCTGCCTCAGAGCTTCGCACCACTGTGCGCGCCTCCGAGAAGGTCACACGCAGTGTCCACTGTGACATCGATCGGCAGCTCTCTTAGCCCCGATGGTATGCTTTCCGGGCTGTTATGTATGTATTACGAGGACGAGGAGGAGGAGAGCTGAATTAGAGTTGTCGCGATCATCCAAACCCCCGCCTCCTCTTCCTCCTGGTTTCTCTTTGCGCAGACGACGATCGTTCTGTCCGGAACAATCGTGGTATCATCAACCCACGGGACGAAAGCCTCCGCCTTCAAGCCTCCTCCGTGGAGGAATCGTGCGTCCGACTCTCATCCGTTCGTATTTCATCCATTTTGTATTTCATCCGCCCATGTTTCATTCGTCAACCTTCGCAACTTTTTACTTTATGATTTCCCCACTTTAGCTTAAATTTCAATACTTAAAGTAACATTAGACTTCAAAGAAAACCTTAAGAAGTGAATTTTTTTTATTCTCTATTTACTTCCTCTCGTGTGACATGAGATGAAAAGCGTTGTAAATGTTTGACCAATACGTAAACATTACATACAATTATTCCACTCCCCCAAACTTAACAGTGAAAAAATTACCCTAAACATATATATATATATATATATATATAAGGATTAAATTAGTTATTAGTTATTTTTTTGTAGTTTCAAACTGAAAAATAAAATTATCAACTACAACATGCTTCTTTTTAACTGGAGTTACTGCCTTAATTAAAGTAGGAAATTAACATGAATATTTTCATTTAACATTGTTTGCTATCAAACCATATTTTCATATGGAGAAGAGTGTATAGGATAATTAAAATGTATCAGCAAATATTATACACTATGAAGATTAGATTACAAGTTTAAAGTAACTTCAAAGCAAGCAAAACTTAATTTTGCAATAAATATAAAGAAGAGGAAACAAAACACACTAAAAACCATATTGTCTGGAACTGTTATTTAATAAATTGCTTCATGTTTAAAATCGTCTTTAATAGAAAACGAACAATTAATTTGATATTTTCCAATTAAACTTGTGTATTACAGCATCTTAAATAAAATGTCAACTTTTTAAACTGTGTAATACATTAAAATGATGTGATGTATTTAATGTAAAAATCAGCCAAAAGCTGTTAAACAATTTAATGTCTCGTGTACATTTGTATATGCATATTATATCAAGTAATTTAAAGCTTGTATAATGTATGCATGAACGCCCCATAATGACACAATTAATATATCATGTTAATGATATTAATGAAATTCCATATATTCTAGATTAGAACGAGTAAAGACTTATTCAAAATATATAATTCTGTGATTTGCAAAAAATGGTATTTAGATAAAATTAATTGATGAATACTTGGTTCAGTTTCTTTGATCCTGCAAAAATTTGTGAAAAAAGACTGATTGTGCATACATGGTACGTAGATTATACCAAGCATTATGCACAAAAATCGTTTTGAAGCAAATACTCTATCAAGATATTTTGGCAAATATTCCAAATATGCATGTAAAGGTACACAAGTTGTAGAAGTTACCATGAGCTCTGAAATAAATTATTTACGCATTCAAACAAACGAAATAAGTATTATCGCCTAATTTATTCATGTGTTTATTTACACTTTACACTTATCAAATACAATAGAAAAGAACAACCTGACGTTGCTAACACTTATTTAACAATCCTTTGCATTTGAACACTCTTCAAACAATCAACAGTGCAATCTCAATTAAATTTTCCAGTATACTCAGCAACAGTGCAGATAGGTTATGTCGAACTCTTTCTCCAATACAATACGAGGAACGTATTATACAGGCAATAGTACGAAAACAATCACATGGCAAACCACATTAAATTCATGCATACGACCCGACTTCATAGATGCAAATATGAAGCATAACAAACATCTAAATACAAACATATATAAATATATATTTGTAAACCATGCTCATTCAGAAAATGGTTAGAAAGCGGCAATTTAAAGACGGGTACCTGAAAGCGCCGACGAGGGGGGCGAACATGGTTTCACTTCCAAACGAAGACAGAATCCATTCTCATCCACGAAAAACCCCTCAACAGCGACTCAAATCATCAAATGGATGAATGTGGAACCCGGAAACACGCGTGCTACGCAAACCGGCAAACCGGTAACCACCCTCTCCACTCGAAAGAGCTTTACAAACAGCAACAGAGGGAGGGAAGAAGGGCGGGATGCGCAGGAGGAGGAGGACGAGACGAGGTCCGAGAGAGAGCGAGCTGGAAAAGGAGCAACAATGGCGGACCAGCCCGGCGCTGCGACGCACGTTTTGCGACATCGTCTGCAATGCTGCTCTGCCCTAGCCATCACCGTCACCCTTAGCTTTCTACCTCGGTGTGATGGTAGCAGCACTTGGATTTCTTAGGATCATCTACAACCACTACGAACGAACGACCTCCCGCTATCTGCAGTTCCGCCGTAGCTCTGCGCTGTGAGTTTTTCCCTGCGCTCCATGAGTGGGTTGTGCTCGGCGTTCGTTCTCAAGAGGAGCCCCTTGCTCTGTGTTCGATGCTTTGCTGGCGCTAGCTGTGAGCAGCAGGCGGGCACGGGGTCCGTGGCGCTCCGGAGTGGTGACGATCTTTGGAGGTACGAAACCCTAGGCCTCACATTTTTGTCCTTCTCTTTTGGTTTCTCTCGGGCTAGCTTGCAGAAAAGAAGAGTTTGGAGGCGGAGTTTCCAAGGATGTGCGTTTTGGTGCATGTTTCGCAGCACTGGTTAGCTGAGGGCGTTTTTTCTTTCTTCTTTTTTCGTGTTCTGCGCGTTTGTGCTGGTTGTTGTGTATGTACACTTTGCGGGGACGACCCGGAACATGTGGGTGTCGTGAAAGCGGGGTACGAGGCAGCGGCTGTGGTAGGCGGTAGATGTTTGAGTGCGACAGGAAGGTGTATGAGGGTGTGAGGTTGCAGTGATTTCTGGGAGATCGGGCGTGGGACGGCAATGGCAAGGGAGTAGCAGAACGCGGTCGCGGCGGTGTGGTCGGGGGGAGAAAGGGGCCGATGGTGGAGTTATGAAGGGTCGGGTACGATCAGGATTCAGGAGGAATTGCATTAGGAATTTGTGAGCGGGAGACGACGGAGAGAGTATGGGGGATGGGAATTTGGGCGGGGCATGAGGGTCGCCGGTTCGGAGGACGTGGCGCAGCGAGTGGTGCTCACAGGTGGTGTGATGTGTGTTTCAGGGTTTGATGGTGTTGTCGCGTGCGGTGAGGGGTCCCGGTGAGTGAGTGAGCGATCGAGGGCGCTGCGGGGGATTGCAGGTGGACGCAAGGAGGTGAGGTGAGTGAGGTCGGGGAGGAGGTGGCATAATGGTGTACAACCAGTCGGACAGCGATGGGACCGACGATGACGACCTCCCTCCGACGCAGGTGATGCGGTCGTCGGGGGTGGCCCGTGCGAAGGGTCGGCCGAGCGGGAACGGGAAGCCGTCGAGCTCGTTCCACATCGAGCAGCAGATCCGGCAGCTAGAGCTGGATGCGTATCTGTCTCTGCTTCGGGCATTCAGCGCGCAATCGGAGGTGATCACATGGTCAAAGGAGGGGCTGATGTCGGACATGAGGAAGGAGCTTCGGGTGGCGGATGAGCAGCACAGGGAGATGCTGGGGAAGGTGGGGCAGGACGAGACACTGCAGAGGATACGGACGTGGAGGCAGACAGGGGAGGATCCTGGAATGGTTGCGCATCATCGGGAGCCGTCGCCGAGTCCCTCGGTGTCGCAGAACAGGAAGAAGCAGAAGGTAGGGCACGCGGGACCGATTCTGCCTCCGCCCGCTCCCTTGCTGAAGGCGGCACCGCACTTGGCGCTGCCGTCGGCGTCAGGGGGACGAGGGCCGTCGAGCGGGAAGAAGTCGCGGAGCAAAGGCGTGACGGAGGCGGGCGGGGTGCCGGGGAGGGGGGCGGCGGGGGGTGGAGGTGGAGGTGGAGGTGGCGGGGTAGGGCGAGGAGGAGCAGCAGGGGGGCTGGGGGGCGGGAGGGGGGCGGCACCATGGAGCAACCACAAGGGCGCAGGGCCGTCGACGGACTCGCGCGTGGAGGCGTGGGTGGGGCGGAGGCTGCGGATACGGTGGCCGGACGACAACATACACTACGAGGCGGTGGTGGTGGACTTCAACAGGGAGGAGATGCTGCATTGTCTGGCGTACGACAGCGGGACTCCGGACGAGAGCTTCGAGTGGGTGGACCTGAAGGGGATGGACAAGAACGACGTGCAGTGGCTGGACTCGCGGGCGGACCCGGTGATGATTTTGGAGGGGAAGGTGCCGCCGCTGATCCCGGCGGAGCGGGGCGCGGGGCGGGGGGTGAAGCGGGGTCGGGGGGGATACGGGGGCGTGGTGGGAAGGCCGAAGGGGAGCGGGCAGAGGGGGAGGCCGCCGGGGTCGGGGGCTTCGCACGAGAAGGGCGCGATGGCAGCGACGCCGCAGTCTCGAGGGTGGAGAGGAGGAGGTGGAGTTGGCGGCGGGGGTGCGGTGGAGGCGGACAGGAACGGGACGGAGAAGGGCGATCGGAGGACGCACATACTGTACCCGGACACGGCGGCGTTCGTGAAGCAGATGGACGCGCTGGAGCATGAGGAGGACTTCGAGAAGCTGGAGAGCGGGAGGCGGGCGGCGAAGGAATACGAGGAGATGCTGCGGAAGGCGCTGGCGATCGTGTCAGACTTCAGCGGGGACGGCGGTGGCGGCGGCGGCGGCGGCGGGAGTGAGGAGGAGAGAGTTCAGGTAGTGGACTCTCCCGTTCAGTCTGTGGGTCTAGAGAAGGGGGGTCATCGTAGTGTGCAAGAGACGGGTGGGGGCAGGCGAGAGGAGGAGAGCGAGGAGGAGGATACGGGTGGGGACAGAAGAGACGATCATGAGGGGTCGGAGGGCAACGGCGGAGGCAGGGGGGGAGGCGGTGGCTCGGACGTGGATTTAGATAAGTCAGACGACGACGGGGACGGGGACGGGGAAGACGACAGGTAGGGAGTAGTAGGAGCAGGAGGCGAGGTAGTAGGAACGGAGGACAGACAGACGCAGCAGAGCGAGCGAGCGAGCGAGGAGGAGATATGACAGCGTGACATATGTGCAGGCTTGGTGGGGACGTGGGGTTTGATTGTGCCCAGGTTGATTTGTGCCCTTTTTGTATTTGTATTTTGGCTCCATTACGTGGGTGAGACCTTTTTTCGAAAAGAAAGAAATGGCGTAATGAAATGAGAGGTGCGGGGTGGCGAGCCCCCACCGACGGTGCATATTACAGCAGTGGATGGGTGTACAGAGGGGTGGGGGGGGGATGAAGCATTGGGGTATGTGATTGTGGGACATGGTGATAACGACGAGGGGGAAGTTGTGCGGTGTGGTGGTGAGCAGTGCAGGTAATCGGCGTGGGAGGCCGTGTTCCCACCGTCCTTGGTGGAGAGGAGCTTTTTATGGTTTTTCTGAGTGTATGTGGTGAAATCCTTGGTGTGGATTTCGTGTGTGTTCGATTTCGAGGTGGTCGCGATGATTTTTTAAATGAATTCGTTTTTGATGTTTTGAATGTTTGTTAGGTAAGATGTGGGATATGTCTCTTATTCTACTACTGAATATCATGTTTTCACTGCGCATGGTTTGTTTTGGCGTTTGTCTCTGGGATGTTATTTTCTTTTTATTGTTTTGATGATGGTCCTTTGGAAGGATGATTTTTTTTTTTTTTTTTTTTTTTTTTTTTAGTTGTTTGGCTGGTGAACTTGATATTTTATGGTCATTTCCATGTCGATATGTTCGCTGCTGAGATTGATGGCGCAGGTTCTACCTCTTTTTGAATTTTGTACACATTAGCTGTCGGTTGATGGTCTAGTCTTTTGGTATCGTCCTTGTCAATTATGTTTCCCTGCCATGCTCATGTACAGGCTTTACTTGTTTAATTCGTGGATTGTTTTCCGAATTATGTTGACTTTTGTATCGTTGATTATTTTCATTGCTGTTATATGAGCCTTGCTTATTGGAATAGGAGGGTGTTATATACATTAATTCTGGGAAAATGTATGATTACACAGCATTTGTGGAGGTGATTTTTCGGGAGAAAGCCCTTTTGGGTACGAGGACCCTTTGACAGTCCCATGGGGGTTTACTTTCAGGCAGCAAGTGCTTTGTCTGGTTACTCATGCGTACGAATTTCTGTTTCCTTCAGTTTGCGTAGCTGTCATTGTTTCTAAATTTGTTTGTATTTTTTGAATTTAGATTATGTTTTACTCTTTTCGAATTTTTAATCATCTCTGCGGGATTGTATTCCAGTCTATCTTTTTGGTGATTGTATTCTCTCTGAGGCAGTTGCTTAGGGCCAGTTGATTTTTTGTAGTGGCGCTGCAGATTTTTCTGCTTTTCATTAGTTGGAGGGCTCGTTAAGATAAGGCGTCTGAGCGTCGAAGTTTAAACTTTTGTCAACTCCTCTCGCGAGGCTTAGGTACCAAGAGTGTTCAGTTATTGATAATTTCTCCACTGTAAGAGATGAAAACTGGCGGTGACGGTCATCTGCATAACGACCTTTCATGAAATAAGGGTTTATTTGTGGGAATTGAGCAAAGGACCACGAAGATGTGCAATTTGTGTGAAGAAACTATTTTGCGGGTGGGACAATGGTGCGAGTTGGTCAAGGAAGAGGAAAAGAGTCTCTGTGGCTGGTTACTCCCAAAGTGCGATCAAGCCTTTCGAAAGCCACAGAAGGTTTGGAAATCGAGGGCAGTTAGGATGGGTGTTTACAAGGCGGTCTGTGAAAGCTGTAAATTCCACGAATCTATAACAACTTGCATTCATTTTTTAAGTGATAAGCTAAACTAGTTAACAATATTCTGGAATGTCTTGTTGACATCGCATCTGCTCAGCTTCGTGTACTGTCTGTTCATCGTCATTCACACGTGTTGCTGCCTTCAGATTTGTTGGGCGGATGACAGCGCCGTCCAAGCAAATGCCATACTTCCAGTAGAGCTTCTCAATAGCTACCATTGCAAATCTGACTGCACAATTTTTCTCGTCACTTCCAACAGTAAACTCCCCGACGTCGTATTCCACCCAACCATCGTCCAATTGCCGTTTTGTCGGTACTCTAAACCCAGGCACTTCTCCTGGTAACTCAGTCAAATAGCACTTACTCTCGATGTGTTGCAACCCGTCCTTTGAGAGAGTGAAGTGTACGGGTTCTGATTCCCAACTATACGCCTCCACCAGAAACAAGCGCCATGAAAGCGTGTAATCCCCCGGCGGAAGTGAACACTGAATTTCCCCTTTCACTTCGAACCAGCACACAGATTCCAATTGTGCGACCTCTGGAAACCTGCTTCAATCATTCCAATAGAGAAGCAAACATGAGAAGCAAACATGAGAAGCAAAAAACTACAAATGCCGACTGCAAATGAAGCGCAAAGCACTGAATGAATGTTCCAGTGCATGCTAAGCTTGGATAAGCAAGCTGCTAAAAATATACGTCGTTATTCGAACTCTACACTCGGCTGTTGCATTAAGTAACCTCACATCTACACAAAGAATCACTTCCATGGTGTGGTAGCTTGAAGGTAGGATGCACTGACAAGGAATCTTCTTTAGTTGTAAGTTTCCAATAACGTAAATCATTGCCCCAGGTGATGTCAAGCCCCCTTGCTCCAATACCCAAGCATGCCCCTCCGGTATTGCGGTCTAACCAGAAACCCTAGTCACGGGAAAGAGACGGGATTAGGAGGTAAACGATTACGACCAGGTTTAGAAGCGGGGGGGGAAAAAAATAGCTCCAAGACCTGGAAAGCAAGCAACAAAAGGAAATGCGGCACACCTTCGTGCTGTTTGCAAATAACGAGAATTGGCAGAGATGGAAGTAGAATTCTCTCAGGTCTCTAAATCTTGTCGCATCAAACGCCGGATCAAGTGCCGCCAATTGCTCGTACCTTGGAGGCAGCATCTTCTCCCAAACAAAGTTCCATTTAGAAGCCTCACGAAAGGAGCGGCACACGTACGCCGCTATCTCAACCTCTCGAGGAGTCAAGAACGAGAGGATGGTACCTAAGCAATTCAAAGGGAGCTGGTCGAGCCCGCCTTCCGATGAGTTCGAAGCTTGGAGATTATCACCCATGACGAGATCGATCGGTCCTCCCTTCACTCACCAACACCGCCCTCCACACCCGCCACCGCACGAATCAAGCTGGAAACTCTGCAAACGATCAAAAACACGGCAATTCTATCTCACTTCTTCTTCACGACAGCTTCAGGTTCTTCCCTCGTAGCGATCTCACCGCGAATTGCTTTTGTACACACTTCTATCGCACCGTCGAGGATATTATTAGAAATCACACACGGTGCGCGTACCGATAATTGAGCGTCTGCAAGACCCACGCACACACACCCAGTAACGCAACGACGCCATGAAGAAGATTTTGCGACAAAGTCTACTGCAGCCAAGCATAAAAATCTAAAGGCTCGTGCGAAAGCACCACATGGGCTCCCAAAACCCTAAAAAGATATCTGGTACTATATCGTTGGCAATGTTGATATATTATCATAACAATTTGATAGTGTAATAAAGTCTTTTAAAATACAATTAAAGCACTACAAAGTGAAAGGAATTACATGTGACCCACTATGAATAGAAATTAAACGTGGTCGTGACATGTGTTTGAGTGATCATTGGAACAAAGGTCAATATTGATGTGAATGACAATATCATCCACTATAGTAGAAGAAAATAAATAAATAAATATGGTTGATTATTTTGAGTTGTATATGGTAAATAAAAGCTTATTAGAACATTTAATATGAATTTTGCATTGTTGTGATTTCATATCATGGATGTGTGATATGTGTGGGTGTGGAAGTTAAGGTGTGTATTAGTGCATAGATTGCGAGTTCATATGGTAGAGTGTATGTTGATGTAAATTGATATGAAAGTAGTTTTATTTGTAGATATTGTGTATGGATTTGGATTATTAGTAGGTTATAATTTACCAAAATATATTATGAAATGTAATAGTTAATATTTTATGAGATTGTTTATTTACTAAGGTATTTCTCAATTCACTTATCCAAAGTTGAATTGTTTCACAGACATAATGTTATGATTTGAGAAAGATCTCCATTGTTATTTATTTATTTATTTATTTATTTATTATTTCAAATTACTTCTATATTACTTGGATAATCTTTAAAATTTGTTATGAGAATGAAATTTTGTATAGCTAATTACATTATCACTTTGAAGACTAAGTTGAGCTCTATATTTGTTTTCAGATATTTTTGTTCAACAACAAAAAAAAATCTTATTTTCTGTGGCTTATAATGCACATAGTTGCTAAATTTCTTTAAAATTTTGAAAATTTCTTCAAGTTGTTTTCTTTTTTTCTTTGAAATTATTCAACAACAAAATTGCAAGTTCTGATATAGATTATAACATAGAATGAGTGGAGTTACAAGTAATAAAGATATAAAAAAGAAAATCGTCATAATAATAACTTTAATGGTTTTAGGTACCATTTGAACTTTTGAATGGAAATAAGATAGAAAAACACTAAAATCATATATATACTTGTATATATATATATATATATATATATATTTTTTTTATGTCTAAAAGTAAATAAAATTAAAACTATATAAAAAAATACAACAGTTGGAATTGGCTACTTTGGTGTATGAATGCATATATATGTATATATATATATATATACATATACATATACATACATATACAAACTCAAAAACATACATATTTTTCATTGTTATGCACAACAGTGAAAATTGTTTGCTTTCTTTTTTAGCCTAAAAACATTCGAATAAGTAGATAGAAAAAAATAATGCTTATTTTAAATTTTAATAAAAACGATTGAATGCATTATAGTTATTAATGCCAATGATAAAAATAAAAATAAAAAATCAACTTTTAAACTTGGAAATGTGTATATATTTATTTTAAAAGAAAATTAAATAAGGTATTTATAAATATTAATAATGTCTGTTTGACGTTGAGAGTTTGGAGTTAAAAAAGGTACACTTCTTTAAAAACACATATAATCATAATATATATATATATATATATATATATATATATATATTTTAACCTTAAGAAAGTGATAACATTTAAAAATAACCTTAAAGAACAAAAATGCCTACATTATACGTTCAAAAACGAGAAAGAATGTTAAAAATGAAAACAGATATTTAATAAATATGTATTAAGTTATATACATATTTACAAAGAATCACTTGTTCCATACTATTCTATTTACATATAAATAACCGTTGAATATAGTTGAAAGTCAAATGAAACTAAACGAACTGTGCATGCTGACCACGTTTATTTATTTGATTATTTTATTGCTTTCATATTTTTCTTTTCAAAGGCTTTTCATAATTAGGTAAAACTCTTGTTATTCTTGGTATTGGTTGATAACTTTGTATTATTTCATTTGGTTGTGTATTTGGTTGTATTATTTCATTTGGTTCATATATTTCTTGAACTATGTTTTGAATTGTTGAGTTTAGTTCTTCTATTTGCAATGACGTGGAAGCACTTGCATTATCTACAATAATTTCAAATTCTTCATGTGATACTTGATTTTTTTTTTCATTTATTTAATAATTACAATATGTTTAGAAGAATTACTACTTTGTATTAATATATTATCTATATTTGGATCAACATTTGACAGAATGTCTTTACTTGAGGAAACTGTAGTTCTTGAATCAAATGTACTCAGATTTTCTGATTTATTTTCAAATATTGAAAGTGAAACATCCATGTTTTTCATTTGCACAAAAGATGCATCATCTTCCTATTTAATCAGGATTTTGAAATATTCAATATTTTGTCATTTGTTGCAACAAGCATTAAGAATAATAGTTGATTAGATGTTAATTGATAGCCTGATTAATTTCTTTCTTACTTTATTATTTATTTAATTATTTGTGTTTTTTACTGAGTGTTTTAACAAGATTACTTTATAGTTTTCAAATATATATATATACATATATGTTCTCTAATATAACAAAAATTTAAGTTGATCTAGTTATAATTTGAATTGTGATTTATACATATCTGTTTTTACTGTCAAAAATAAAGTTTGTAATAAATAAAATGCGTTTAGAAATTATAAATTATCAAATTTAGTTGTAAAATCAAATTTTGATATTTACAACAGCAATGTCAGTGCATAATAATGTATATGCCTTCATTTATGCTTGTGGATACAACGTAATCATCAAGAGATGAGGATGGAATTTAAATATATAATGAGTAATAAATATGTCAATTTTGGTGCAAAAATCATACAACAAAACACCAATTTATACTCCACTTTTATATTACTAACAGCATAATAAAATTGAAATATAAGCCTAGACATACTAATTTTCCAATTTATTTTGTAGGTTATTAAGTTTTTTTTATCATGAGTGGAACAAAACCTCAAATTAAACATTCATTGCCGTGATATGTTTGGATAGAAGTAAAAATACACTACATGCCTATTTGCATGAAGTGACAAATACTATGGACTTAGTAATTTTAAACATTCAATATTTTTATCATATCAAGGAAATAATTACACATTATTTTTAGTTAAATTTATTCAAGAGATGAATTTGTTGTTGCAAACAAACGTGCCCTCTACCATGTTGGGAATGTCAACTGTGTTGTCCAACATCTCATTTTTGTGTTTTTGGGGTTTGGTCTGAATTTTTGTGGGCAGTTGAGTTTCTTTTCTAATCTCTTGTAGAACCCTTTCATCCAAAAAATCTGGATGTTTGTAGGAATTTTGGATAAATTCTGACATGTTGAAGTTGGGATCTCTAGTTCTATCATCCATGTCTTTTTTACTTGCATGCTGCACAATTTAGAATCATATGTTTTGTGTATGAATGTGTATATATATATATATATATATATATATCTACACACATTCTTCATATGTTCAATATAAGCTTCAAATGAATATTTATGTAATAGCATGATATTTACCTCCAAAGGGAATTTTAGGAAGCATGGTTCAAATCGGGTTTTACAATATCGGTGAAAAATATATGTAAATATTGGCAAAGCAACAACAAAAGGTGTGGAACTCATTGCTTGTTGGCAAAATTTCAAAGCCTTTTCTTTTAGTGAATCGTCATCACTGACATGTATAGTTTTAAATGTAATGGGTCCTTGAACAAGAAATAATCCAATCAACATTAATTGTTCAATGTAAAGTGCAACTATGATTCGTCCATGAACAAAAGGCCAAAATGACCCCGCACTTTCATAGGCGGCCTCATAAACATGGATCACCTAAGTATAATGTTTGACACAATGCTTTATACCATACAATACTAATTAAGAAAACACCAATTTATTAAATTGTAAATATGGCCACTTAACAAGTTTGAATTTTTAAAAATTGAATATCAAAACTAATCACTTTATTACTTCTTAAGAAACAAAACATTTATCAATAGAGACTTCATCATGTTGGAACTTTAGAATGTGTTGTGTTATAATATACAATGATAATTATTATTTCATTATTACAAAAGATACAATAGTTTTAAACACACACAAAAAACAAAAAAACAAAACAAACAAGCAATGGTGGGACAATTGTAATAGAATTGTGGAGTATACCTGATGCCGGTAAACAACATAATTTATGGCAAATGTTACAACAACAAACGGTAATATAATGGGAGTTATAACTGAATATACTAATCCCATGAGAAAATAGAGTTGGAGTTGTGCCAAGTTGACGTAATATATAATAGGACCTGGATCCATAGCCCGAACCTTGTCCATCTCAGTATGAACAAAAAATGCATTCTGTATGTGGTAGGACAACAAACCCCACGGACGCAAAATTTCTGATGCGGCCCCAGCCCAACCATCCACCATGATAAACGTTATGAAAAATGTTGCTTTCATGGGAATCGTATATGCGAGAGTTTTCAAAAACCTATTCAATTCAATGCCCACAAAGTATTTTGTTTAAAGATTTGAGTGTCTCCTCACCTTTGTCTATCTTGTCTTTTTAAATTTCTTCAAAATGTTGGAGTTTAAGAAAAGTAACATATATATATATATATATATATATTCATAGATGAAAATTTGAAATTTTCTAGATTGCTATTTTTTTTTATTATTTTTTTTTTTTTTGTATTAAGAATGTTATGCAGAGTAATCATATGGTTGAATTTGATGATGTGGTATTTTTATTTTATTTTTATTTTTATTTTATTTTATTTTTTCAATGTAGTTTCTTAATAAAAAGAAGAGAAAAAAAAAAAAAAGTAAATGAAAACTCACTGAACAACAGATGATGAATTTAAGAAGGATTGAAGTTGTTCCAATGCAGACCCTGTAAGCATGCTTCCAAAAAACACATTAACCACCATGAAATAATAATATTTCATTGCTCCTTGCTGATCAAGTCTAGAAAAGGAAGAATGGCCTTCAAAGATTGTTAAACCTCGAACCATATATGGCACCAACTTCATAAAAAACTTCAAAATGACTCCGGGTAAATATCCTTGAACAAATGATGCAAAATACGTTCTAAAAGATCCATCAACCTCCCCCAGTATTTCATTTTTAGAACAAGTTGTAAAACATAAATGATTTCATATACACATGTATTACATATGCACATGATCAAGATAGGTTGGTAATATATACATTTTGAGTACTTTCTCAAGTTGAGGAAATTGAGTCCGAAGCCCTTGAATGCTTGCAAATGATTGCACAATTGTGATTGGAATCATGAAACAAAACACCAACACAAACAAACAAATGCCCACACACACCCTTCGGCAAGCCAACTTGATGTACGGAATAGCCAAGTTTGGCCAATAGATGTCACGGGGCTCGGGAGCCCACGCTGTGATCCACTTGGTGGGATCAAAGCTTTGTTGGGTTTGCGCACAAACTGCCGCTCCCCATCGAGTCTTGAATGACACAAATGCGGATGGCATGGTGCTTGATGCGTCTTGAAGAACCGCCACTCTTTCAAGTTCTGCCTATTGTTACATTTAAAAGTAAACTAATTGATTAAATATATTTGCTCTATATTTCATCTAATAGTTGTTTTAGTTTTTTGGCTCTTTGGTATGATTTCATGTTTGATTCATTTGAAGTTTTGGGTTGTTTTGTTTGGTTTTTGCTAGCATTTTGACTGAATGTATGGCATGGGCTTCAATTTATTGGGTGCTGGCTTGATACCTTTTTGTTTAATTTTTCAATCTTGGTGGTGTATAGATTTATGGCATCAACCATTGTTCCACACATTCCACATCCATAACGCTGTAAACACACGGCATTAAAAGATGGGAGATCAACTACCCATACATTGATAAATATCAAATAGAAATTATTTTAAAATGAATGCATGATATGTATTATGTAACACATAAGTTCTGAATTTTTTTAATGAGTTTAAAATAATAAAATAATAAATAAAACGGAAATGAAAATTGAAATATAATTGTTTTTGTTTTTGTTGTTGTTGTTTTTTTTTTTTTTATTATTATTATTTTTTATTATTATTTTTTTTTTATAAAGTATTAAAAATAATGACAACATCATTTTTTTGAGGTGTTGCACCCTTGTCATTGGTCTCTCATTTGATGCCTTAAATCTCAAATGCCAATATGATAACCAGTTTTCTTTGTTTTTTCGTCTTTTGACAATATTAGCCAAACGGTTTGCATTGTAGACTAGCTGCCTATCATGCATACAATAAACTAAAATTATTAAACATGAATCAAAGGTTGAAATTAATACAAAATAAAAGAGAATAAGTATAGTTGTGTATATACATGTGTATATCTATATCTATATATATGCACCTGGTGAGAAAGATAAAAATCAGGATGATTTGCTCGGAAGTATTTTTGGACTTGAATATTTATAGATTCTACAGTTGATTTAGGGACTTGATGAACAAGTACCTACATTTGTTCATATGTGATTATAGTAGACTTCTGTTAATTTGTATTTTAAAACTTGTAGAAAAAAACAATGATCTTCCTACTTTCATAATCAAATTAATTTAATTTTCATTATCATTTTCAATCCAAGTGATGTTATTTATGATTTTATTACAAAATAAAATATGCTATTTTTTTCAAGAATATGCATCATCAAAATAAAATGCTGGTAAAAAGCTGGTAGATTTAAATGTTGTTAAATTTGTCACCGTGAACTGATTTGCTTGTCGACGAGCACTGCGTAGAAATTCCAATCTCATAAGTGATATTGTTTTATACTCATTATACAGAACCACACAAGTCCAAGCTGTGAATACATAAGCCATGACAAGATGTGTCCACAATCTACAAAATACTTTCATTGTGAGTCAATTATTCCTAATATATATAATATATATATGTATATATATATATATATATATATATAGATTATATATATATATATATATATATATATGTGTGTGTGTGTGTGTGCACATATATATTTGAGGATTTTATTTAGCTTATATATATGTTTGTAAATCTTATTTGAGATAAATAACATCCTCAAATTATCAAATTTCATACATTTCTTGAAAATTCATAACAATACAACCTAGTAATTTTGCTCTCATAATATTAATTTGGAAAGCATAACCAAAGCTGAGTTTCTATATATTAAATTATTTCAGGTTACAAATATAATTATGTTCATAAAATGAAACTTACCTACTGGATCCACTTGGCACATTTGCTATAGAAAGTTTATCAATATCAGTGAATAATAATGAATTTGTGGGTGATGAATTAAGTGTGTTGTTGATGTTTGCAACTTTTCCATGATCCAAACTCTTTAAATAACCACCCCCAACGTTGATTGTCACAATAGTTGATAGCCCCACAGTCATTAAAGGAATAAATATTTTTAATCTGAATTTAAAAGTATGCATATATTTAAATTTAATTTCAATTTAGTCTGAAAAATCAATCCAATATTTATTTTTGTATGTTTTGAGAAATGGGTTTAATAAATAGGTTTGTAGCATAATTTTTATTTCTGGGTTTTGGTTCTGGATTGAATCTAGCATAATTGTTGTTTTTGTACTCTAATTAGATAGGCTTCAATCAAATTTTATACTTATTTTTTTAAAATCAATAAAATTATTACTAATTAATTTTTCCTAATTCAAAAAAAATTCAAAGGTGGTATTCTCCAATTCATATTTTAAAATAATTTAAAAAAATAAGAATAAAAATAAAGACATAGGTTCCTAACATTAATGCTCTCAATAACTATATGTGAAGTATGTATATAACCTAAAAAATCATGCAATTTGTTTAACTTGAGAACTAAAGTATTTGGTACATGCAAGTAATGAATTTACCCAACTTGGATGTTACGTAAAAAAATAGCAGCATCTAATCCTGCGTGATCAATGATTTGATGTTCAGACATGCGGAAAGCTTCTACAATCCACGCAAAAGATTGAAGGTATGGTAGACATTTGGTTTCAAAATATTGATCCATCTTTGGATGACTTGATCTGCTTGATGGGCTCCCTTTTCTTTGAGCGTCTTTCATATACAACTTTGGATGATAGACACGATCATTTAATGGTTGAATGTTGAAAACAAGGAAAAAAATAAAAAGCAATGACATGATGGTACAATTGATCACAGCAGAAACGCCAATATCATATAAACTTGCCATGTTGAATAACAAGGTGGGCTTTTTCACAACTGTTTCAAAGATTTCCACAATATAAACTTGTGGTGCACTTTGATTTTGTTGTTGATACTTCCATTGTTGTTTGTTTGTTTTTGTTTTTGTTTTGTTTTGTTATATATATATATATATATATATACTTATTATTGTTTTAAAAAAATCAAAATTTGATTACAATTCTATTTTTTGAAACATGTTTTTCTAAGTCATGGTTTTCTAAAAACCATCACCATGATTCATATGTACAATATAAGTTTTTTTTTGTTACAATTTGAATTTTCCTTCCATTAAATTTTGAAATATGAAGTTGGAGTATCACCTGAAAAAAAGAAAAAGAAAATAAGGGATATACACAAAACATACACATACATATGCATATAATGCATACTTGTTATGAACCTTTCAACAATTATACATTTAAATATTTATCTTAAAATTTTCCAAATTTTGATTAATGTCAATAAAGGTTAGTGTTGTGCATGCATCTCTACAATATATATATATATATATATATATATATATTTTCTCTTGTTTTGAAGCTCAACATTTGATATATCAAATACTCAGTAAAAGGTCAGGAAGCTTGACAAATTAAAAGGAAAAAGTATTTTATTACATGTGTAATTGAATGCTTGGAATAATGAAAACAATAATTCAACCAAATCAAGCATGATTCGAGATACGTCCATTTAAAGGACATCAAAAATCCGTTCATCCAAAGCTTTAAAGTAGAGAAAAGAACGAGGACCCAGAGCACAGAACGGGCAGCAACAAATTCCAGTGTGAAAAGTTCCCAACGAATCTACGTGGCAAATGAAATGGAGCCAAGGACCACGCAGCGCGGACGAGGACGAACGACGGGCACCCGAAGACGTTGACGAAACCACAACGAAGTAAGTTTATCGTTCTGAGTCACGTTGACGGAATATAACGAAGAAATTTTATCGTGCCGAACGACGTTGACGAAACCATGACGAAGGAAGTTTATTGTGGCGGACGACGTTGACGGGGCGGTGACAGAAGAGGCGGTCGTTGGCGACGACGGTGCCAGAAGCCTTCACCCCGCATCGTCTGTCTCTGGACCTCTTTTGGTGCTGGGATTCTTCGACTCCGTTTGCAACCATCGAGCCAAGCTAAGCTACTACGCCCAAGCTACGATCAGGGAAGGGAGGGGGCATCGCAGCTGTGGTGCATCACTGAAGCACCACCCCAACTAAACAATCCGCTCTCACTCTTCACTGTGCTCATGACCCTACTGTATTAGGGTTTGCGTTTTGCTGGCCTTCGAGCTTTGAGCGCACAAGGGAGGGGGGAGGGAGACAACGTGAGAGAGAGAGAGAGACTAGGGTTACAAGCATTTTCTCAAGAACGTCACCGATCCATTGCGAAGGCGGAGAGGGAGAGAGAGAGAAAGAGAGAGCTTTTGTTACCGACACCGGGGTTGCTATGGCGTGAATTGATTTGGGTTGTTTTAGTGATGAGGTAAATGATGTTGTCTATGTTTTTTATTTTTTTTATTTTTTATTTGTTGGGGGAGGGGGGTATTTGGTCTTTGGGTATTGATGTGGGTATCGGCTTCTTATGGCGAGTGGAGACGTCGGGGATGTACGGTGAAATTGTGGTAGGGTTTGTTTGTGTTGTGACGAAGTCGAAGAGGTTTTGTGCAGGTTGGAGTTGGTGTAGGACCCGGCGTGAAGAGGGAGGGCAGAGGCGTGCGCGGGGTCGTATTTGATGTCTCATCCACGAGTGACTGTCACCTTGGGGCGCGGCGGGAAGCGGGTAAGCTTTTGTATGCGTTTTGTTCCCTAGCTTTCTCGCGATGAATAAGATTGCAAGAATTGGATTATGGGTATGGGAGCAAACGGGTCTTAGTGTTGAGGCCTGTATTCAGAGTGTATTCTGGCGGCGTTCGTTCGCGTGTGTCTTTTTCCTAGCTTTTTTGTATCCGTTTTTCTTTTTTTTGAGTGGTGTTCCTTAAGTATGGGGCGTAGCATCCATTGGTTGTTACGAAATTCGCGGATGTGGGTAATGCGTCTTTCTGTTTTTCTTTCAAAGCTATGTGGTTATACAGATTCGCGGTCATTTTGTGTTTTCTTCTCTGTGCTTGTTTGTTTGTCGTTTATTGAGGATAGAAGTCTCAATATGCGCTTTTCAACCTTATAGTTAGATTCGAAGTAGAGATGTGCGATTCAGATGGAACCCAATATTCAGAATGGTGAATTGTAGAAGGAAAAGCGTAAGCATGGTTTTGTCGTTCCAGATTGTTGATCAGTGTCAACGAGTGGCGACAGCGGTAATGAACCTGTAGTTAGTTCCTCCAAATCAGTTGCCTGGAGAGTCATCTATCCAGTTGGATAGGTTATAGCTCCGATGTCCACAAAGTAATGGTCCAAGGAGGTGCAGTAAAGCGTTTTTAATGTGTGTATCATAAACTATCGTATGCAGGTCGAGAGGCGCGTTACAGCCCCCGCAGAGATGTACGCCGATCGCTCGAATGGGGTAGGGAATAGGAAACGATCAATTAGGGATCGATTGGGAGGCTTAAACGAGCCGGCCTTTGCTGGACCACAGTCAACTGCCAAAAGGTAAGTTTTTGCTACATTGTATGTAGACATTAAAATATATTATCCCATAACGTGTTTTTTGAGGAACCCTTAGAGACTGAAGTTCAGTATTCTGCAAGTCTGAGAGGGACCTGACAAGTTTTGGATGGCTATCTCTTCCTGAACTCGATTGATATCTATAACCAGGGTCTTGGGTGAATGTATGCAGGCTAAGAGACGTTGAGGGACAATGGAAACATGATATGTACTTTGATGACCGTGACGATGGTCCTCGAGAACGTATCCTTTTTAGTTCTTCCATTTTTGAGGGTGTGGAATTCGTTGCGCGATGTAGTATCGTCGCCTTTGTCAGACGCGATCTCGTTATTCTGTGTATGCTATTGTAACAGGTCTTGGTTCACAGAGTAGATCGAAGTTTCAGAACTCAAGTTTCATCCTTGACCCCAGCTGCTCATATAGGCGGACAGGATCTGCGGTCAAAGTTGCAAAGATCGGGTTCAAGAACTGTTAACCAACCAAGAGCTGGAAATGTTGTGGACTTGCGGGACAAGTTGTCAGGCCTTGCTGATCAGAGCCAACAAACTTCACGAGCCCACGAAGCTCCCAAACTGCAGCGGCGAGTCGCGTCTGTAGTTTATAACAGCTCCACTGTTACACAAGGTGTGGCCTCTGTGACTGCCCCTGCTCCTGTCTCAGCCAGGCCAGCTGCTTCAGTCAAGAGGCCTTCGGATATACCAATGGTGCTCTATCCAATTCCTTCTCTGTTCTGATCGTTTTTCAGCATTCCATTTGTGTAAACCTTGAGCGACGGTTACTTTTTAACTGCTTGCCGAGCAAAGTTTTTTAGCCAACTCCACGCCCTTAATTGCTTCCCTTGAAATCAAAACTCTTCCATTGTGGAACTTTTAGGTTGAATCGTTCATGCAGCTTGTAAGCAAGTTTGGGTGTTTACTTGTACATGTTGATGAGCGTCGTGCTAATTTATTTTGCTCCTTGTGATAGGCTGCAGAGCAGACCGTTCGAACTCTTCTCCATTCATTGGGACTCGAGAAATATTTGATCACTTTTCAAACTGAGGAGGTAACAGCCATTCTTAGTTTTTTCTACTTGTTTCCAATCTTCCCTAGCATATAGTTGTATAGCTGAAGATAACCCTGAGTATTTGAGTATAGAGCTTTGCTGATTTATATCTCGAACCTGGTTTTGTTGCCGCTTTCAGATTGATATGGCTGCCCTGCGATTCATGAGTGACAACGATCTTAAGGAACTTGGTATCCCAATGGTAAGCTGAATCCCTATACATCGTTTTCTTATGCTAAAGTGTGGTGAAACTTGAGCGAGGAAACATTTGGTGTAGCAGTTCTGAATTCAAAGAACCGCGTCTTTACTGACTCTGGTTTCATTTTTCCGCTTCTTTTATCAGGGACCCAGGAAGAAGATCATGCTGGCAATCAGGGGCAAGGAATGAAGTTAGGTTATTGGGTTCCTTTTTTTTCTTTTCTTTTCCTTTTTCCCCTTATTATCAGGCACAAATAGACGCAAAGGGGTTGGATGAATCCTTGAATCTCAAGTTCAAGCCCCGGGTAGACGAACGATGGGGTAGTTGTAACTGAAAAGTTCCATGGTTTATGCATTGATCAGTGATTGGTTAGTGTGCGTATATGTAGGTGCCGATTTTGTTGAACGATTTCGCAACCAGTTTGATGTGGATAGTAATGTAAGGTTGTAAACTGTGTCACTGGCGTTTTGCATGGTTGCTTTGTGTATGCTCTTTCCCTCGTCTTGATCAGAAATGGTTGTGGTGAAAAGGCACAGAAATAGAAATGTATAATTTTGGAAGAAAATTTGTCTTGCTAAAAGTCAGAAATGGGGTATAGAAAATTTTCCACAAATGTGTCATGACTGTGGTTAACCATTTATTTAACAATAATTGTACACTGTCATACACTATTCCAGAAATTCTTGTTAGAAAATTGTTGTAACTATGATAGAAATGTTACTGCATTAGTGTTATGTATATTGTCACATTGTTCAATATGAAGGTAACCGTGGAGAGAAGTTTTCACAGTCGGTTTATTATCATGTGTATGCTGATTGTATTTAGCTACATTATCGTCGAAAAAGTTTTGTGGTAGTTGTCATAACGGAATATCAAGGAAAATTCAACACATATGGAATATGTGCGTGGAAAAAGCATTCAGTAATTTCAGATAATTGCCAGGAATTCAATTACCATGTAGCCCACATTAATAACAACGCCGATTTACAGCTCTGCAACTGCATCTTCAGGCGCAGGGTCGGTTTTGGCAGCGCTCTCGTCACTCCAGAACGAGGTAGCCTTTCCAGTCTTCGAAACACGGTCTAGGACAACATCTGGCTTAACACTACCTACGACTGTTACCTTCTGCTCCTTGATGTCAATGTCGTAGCTTTCCACACCTGCCAAACATAACACATCATTGCATCCCATCAATTATCGAATTTCTCGATATCTTCTACAACAGTATCGACCCTAATTTGACGAGTAATGTAAAAGAGTCCAAAGTGAAACTTGCCACCAGATTTTCATATTTTCAGAGTAAGGAAACCACTCCCATCAATCGGTCTTTAGAACAAATACACTTACCTTCCAACTTCCCTATGGCTCTCTTCACTGCACCTACGCAGCCCTGGCAGCTCATGGCCACCTTCAAAACTGTAGTCTACACATTTAAACAAGCTTTGTTAGGACATTCACGAATAGAGGTAACACAAAATGTGTAGTTCTGAGCGTTTCCATAAAGTACGGAAATCACTGCAGAGCTTTTGCACAACTAACAAGCTCATTCACATTCATTCCAGAAAGACAGAAGGCAGAAATCCAATGAAAATTCTAAAAGCTTTGAGTGGTTTAGCGTTGGAAACAGTAACAAAAAAAACAGCTGAAGTAATTATAAAAACATAAATATAAACAAAAAAAAAAAATCCAACAAGTCTCACGAAACCAATGAAAATGAAAATAAAACATGTACTAGTGCAACTCTAATAAAAAAATCTTAGACCAAATGAAGATTCTATAGCAGGTCTCCCTAACACATGTTGAAACGACTAACGAAACCTTGTTACACAGCTAAATTTGCTCTTCTTAACCGCAAGACAATTAAGAAGCGTATGAGCAAGCATTCCAACAAGAAATTGGGACGCGGGATTATGGCACTATCAGTAGCCAAACTTCAACTCGCTCAACTCAAACAAATAGCAACCGACAAAACAAGTTCACAAGAACCGAGCGAATCCGCACATACGCGAAAAGACGAGAACCTAGTGATCTACCGCGATTCGTAATACAACATCCAGCAAACACGACGCATCCAATCCATCACATTCCATTCCAACACAATCTCAAGCTCCTACTCCCGATCCACTGTACTGCTCTCAAGGCAAGCAAAAATCACCAGAAACGGGAAGCGATTCACTCGGACGCGTACCTCAGCCATGGCGTGAAACGCTACGCACCTCTCGACAGGGAAAAAACGCCTCTCAAGTTTCGCACCACGACAGTTGCGCCGCAGATCGCAACTAGTAGCTCTTTCTTACGCGACCACGAAGGGAAGGGGAAGCTTGTGTTATAGGATTGCGTGAAACTCACGGGCAGGAAACCTCTCTCCCTCCCTCCTCTCCTGTGCTGGGGATTTGAAAAAGAAAGAAATTAAATGTGGAATGATCTTTTGGCTACTTCTTTCCCTGCCCCCCCCCCCCTTTCGGTTCCACTCCCTGTTTGTTGAACCGCGCGCATGTGGTTTGGCTCCATGGATGAACGTCTCTGGTGGTGATATAATGGATGAACGTCGTCGTATGACGTTGCGTCAGATTCCTGGGATGTCGACATTGGTACCGTCTCGTCTGGAGTTCGAACGTGGGGAACACATGACGTAATTGTTGCTTTTACTTTTACTTTCTGGGGGGGCGGGGGGGCGGGTATGCTGTGTGCTTTTTTGTCCTACTGTTGTGATGGTCTTTTATTTTAATATTGTGATGTGGGTATTGTGCTTCTCGAGAGTGTGAATTTAGATTTAACTGAAGCACGCTATTAAACCTTGCATTGGTAATTGACAATTGTGATTGTAGAATTAAATCGTTTTATTTTAGAAATAGACTTTTCTCGATGTAAGATACAATCACAATTTAATTCAAGCTCGTTGAACACAGCACAGCAGTCTAAATCAAAACTGTATTTGATTAATGTATTAAATGTCTATTTCCTTAATAAATTACAAGTATGATTGCAATAGTGGAAAAATCAAAAGCTCCTTATTCATACGTGACTTGGGATAGTATGGATGGTGAACAGTTGACATAATTGCTAATTTCTCACTTCTTAATTTTTAAAATTTTAAACATCGATAAATTAGTGTTGTTTTTAAGAGCTGTTGGTTGCAATAGAACTGACACACAGTTAGTTTGGAAAGAGATTTGATTTAAACTATTATAAACCTTTATTACGCCAGCTATTTTACCATACAAACATTTTGGAGTCCCTAAAATAAATTATTGAATTTGAAAACTTGGAGGTGGCTTCACACCGTCTAGAAAAAACCCCAATCGATTTTGTATAACCACGTGAATTTGAAAGATACCATAATATTATGGTATCTAGCTGTATGAACTATTTGCAGAAGATTTTGTTTAAAAAAAAAGACTTTCGAATTTTTAAAAAAGTCATTGCTAATGAATAAAAACAACTGTTTATTGGTAACGTATCTGAACATCCAAGAGTTCATATACTACTATTTGTAGAGAATGCTTATTCCAATTCATTTTGAACTCTGCATACCCAGACATAAATTGCATAAACGAAGAAAGTCGTCGTCCATGTTTTCTAGAAGTTATGTGTCTACGTGTCTTGTTTCGGCGCTAGCATAGTAATTTGAGCAAGATGGTCGAGAGCCAAGAGGACATTGGAAGACAACATAGGAGCAGAAAATCTTCGGTCACTTGTGCTTCAAAGGCATGGAAACTTATGGAAAATTCCCCCACAAAGTACAATAGATCTAGATTTCATGCTCCAAATGAACCACACCTACAATGGCACATAACTACTACGCCAAACATTGAATTCCATGTCCATCAAATTACAAAGACAATGCATAGTTTTGATTCGAAATCAGCGGTCTAGGTCTACCACTGGACCAAAATCTCAAGGAGTTATCTACAAACTCCTGTAGTCAATCACGCTAACTTCATCTTCAGGAGCATCCAGATCATGATAGCTGTTCAGCAGCAAAATAATTTCAGTTAGAACGCAAGGTTTCGTAGAAAAGAAGACGATGAATGCAAGGAAAAAGTGGGACGACCAAGCGCTATTCAGTCAGCAAGGAATCACTGTTGGCCACAAAAACCCAAAGGACCCTAGGCAACAAAAACCCACCTGCGCACACCCCGAGGGTCTCGACGCATGCCATGAGGAGGCATCATATTGGGGGGTATATCCAAAAGACCACCTTCCATCATAGGACCTGGAGCGCCCCTCTTGCCACCCCTAGGCCCTCCATTACCTTCCTCTTGATAACCAGCATCAAAGCCTCCCATGCGAAACGGCCCAGGACCTTCCCTCAAAAATCTCATTGCTATTTCAGGGGGTGCTGGCACAAACGGACCCAAAGGACTGCACAAAAAATCCAGATTCAGATATAAACTGCAGTAAGTACCCTTTCAGAGAGAGTTGATGAAATATTGTAGCTTGATGCAAGCACGGTACAAACTTACAAGAAGCTGATGCAAGTCAAGATAGCCTCGGCTTACAAAAGTCACATTCAAAAGATGTAATTAAAACCTCAAGCAAGTTCACGTCAAACTATTCCTAACGCTGGTATTAGAAATCACTTCTTACCCAGCACCAGGAACAGGCATGAGCACTTGGGGTGGACCGGGCATATCTGGTACAAAAAGCCCACCAGGTAATCCTCGCACAGGAGGCCCATTAAAATGATCAAACATGGGAGGCTCCATCGGTCCACCCTCGAAAGGACCTCCTTGAGCTGGACCACCTCCTTCGAAAGGAGGACCACCAGCACCGAGAGGATAGTCACGAGGCGGAGGAGTAAGTTCAAGCCCTCCACGATCAAAACGACCTTTTTCATCACGAGTTCCCCGTTCAAAACGTTGTTCTTCTCGGGCACCTGGCCCTTGATCATATCTATCGCCATTTCGTGGCCCGAATCTGCCATCCCGGGAAGGATGGTCTGAAGGCGGCCAGTCAGGACCTGCTCGGTTTCCAGGCCCACCAATCGGTCCCGATAACCCAGGTCTAAGACCTCTTCGACCTCTGTCATCATCTCTCTGCAAGGTAACAAAAAAGAGTTCAGTCAATGACAGTCCCAACTTTAACTGCAATAACAGTGCCTTCTGACAAACAAACAAACCTGGCATCCAGCCGTGCATCCTGGGACGTAAAATAACAAGGCTTTCTATCAGCCATCTACAGATCCATATACATTCAAGAGGATCACTGGTACTTCAAGGCAACATACCTGTCCAGGCTGTGAAGAGGTCACTTGATTTGCACCAGGAGCATCAGGATCACTGAACCATAAAAAGGATAATAACTGTCAACGAATGAAGCTCACAGAAGGAACAGATTGTACTGATCGGAACTAAGCTATTCCTAGAGTTAAATCATCGTTTGAATCAAATTATGGCGACCAAAAACACTCTTAATACCAATTGGTGTAAAAATTGCACCAAAAAATTCAAGAAAATGATAATTGAAAACCTTACAATGTAATAACATACCGTTTCACAGATTTTAAAATAAATCACACAAAAAGGAAAATAGAATTGAGGCACAAACGATGCTGAAATAATTTCGAAGCAATCATAAGCTCACCTCATGTAGTTCTGGAAGTAGAGCTCCTCCCGAGCCTTAGCAACAACATCAGCAACTAGGTCAGAATGCTTCAGCTTTAAATGTTTATGTACAAATTCTGGGCCATGGAACAATTTGGTGCATCCCTTAGCACCGCAACCATATTTCCAGCCATACTTCTCATCCCGTATCTTACGCACAAATGGATCCAATGCTTCGTTAGCCGTGGTATCCAGCTTCTCTCTCCCAAGCATGGAAACAATTATATCGCCACCTTGTAGCCGTGTCTGCCAAGTTGTATCCAACTTTTTCTCCCAGTCCGCAAAACCCGCTCCTTCTGTACCATTTTTGGTATCTCCACCACTCTTACCCTCCGGAGCCCTTATGTGCCGTAGACGTTTAGGCTGTTCCTTGTACTCTATCATCCCATAGTAATCCACAGAGTGTACTCGCCACAGATATGTGAGAACCACATCCAGAAGCTCGGTACCTTCTAATCCTTTCACATGATTACCAGACCTAACTATTACAATAGGCCCAACTGAGCCACCGCCCACAGTCCTCTCATTTTCAGTGTTCTGATCCACTGATAAAAGGTTTCCTTCAATCCCTTTTTCAGCGTCCAACTTTTTGATAAGTGATCGTCCAAGTTCTATATCCTTCAGAACTCTCTGAGGATCTGAACATCCAGGATGTGCTGTAGGAGCTACGATCGTTTCTTGAGCTTTCACGTGTTCTTGCGAAGACTTCCTCCTTTTATTATTGCCGTCTGCGTCATCCCCTGAGTCGTCTTTTGATGATGATCGTACACTCGGACCCCTGAGCAAGAAGCCCACCACATACACTTTTCAATAACACTGTCATAGATCGAAGCCAAACTTGAAAAGTATCCCGTAAACGTTTAACTAGAGCCTACAAGGTTACACATAATTAGCAATCAGAACTTACAAATCGAGAGACCCTGCCTGAAGCTCAGCCAGCAACTCCTTGGACAAAATCTTGGCATTTTCATTTCTCCTGCAATGGCACGAAGGATCACTGTACTCATTTCACTTTACAGAATGCAAAGCTCACGTGCATCAGAAGCAGAAGACATAAATTTGCTGACACTAAAAAGTGTAGGTTAACGTTTTACAAAGCATCGCCACAACAAGCGAATATATCTCACCTTACTAGAACAATCTCCAATCTTGCTGGGTCGTATTTCTCACGCAACCTGAAAAAAAAACGATTTCAATTCAGATCAGCAATCGCAGGATCATTTAAAAAAGAAAAGCTACGTAAAAATGTCGCCGAATAATATGTACGAGACGAGTGTCGCTGACAACAATCCATATTTTGATCCTTTCAAGATCTTACCAATCATCATCCTTGTGCTGCTCAAAGAAAGCTCTTTTCTGAGTAGTAATGAATTCCGACTTGTATTCCTCATATCTGCACAGGATCTTGGTGTAAGAGTTGACGCAGATGCAAAATTTGACGTTTCATTTTAAATTTAAGAATCGCAAGCTGCCCGAACCCTCAAAGTGAAGTTTTAGAACTAACCACAAGTAGTCCCCCAAGATATTGCTACATAATAACCAAACTCTGGATAACATCTATGTGCACAATCATTAACCATAAATAAATAAGAGCGAAAATGAAATAAACATTCATAGTTAACGTAATAAACAACTGAGCAGTGCAAAATTCCTTCAAGGATATACGACTGTATGGGACAGATGTGAACAACCACAAACAAAGAACCGCATTGAAAGAATCACAGGCTAGATTCTACCTAATTGGAGGACATGAGACCTTCAGAATTTGAATATTACCTGCGCTCAGCTTCTCCGGGTAGAATATCATCCTCAAGCTCCACAATGAATTGTTTGTATGACATCAACCCATCCCTGTACAATTCTCTAAATCAATAGCTAAAACTTCATAAAACAAAACGAATCTCAAAACCTCAATCAATAATATAAAATAAACAATCGACAATCAAGCGCCTATTGGAATGATGCTAAAATTCTAAAACCACTGAACTTTTTGCAACAACCAATAAGTGAAACCAAACCTTCGTGGCGGAGGTCTGCTTCCGTACATACTCGGATACGGTCCATCCCTATAACCTCCACGACCTGATCAAGACATTTATTCCATTTGAAATATTTGAGTACATATCAACCAGATATGAAGCTTCCCTGCCCTTAAAAAGCATTTAAATAACTAGAGCTATCATTACGATAGGTCTACGGGCCTGAAAACAATTATGAAACAATTCATCAAAAATTTATACGCCGATAGTGAAACATCACCTCCATCAAATTTCCAATTAGACAAAAGCTTACTGCAAACTAAAAGGTGTAAAAGAAGAGCTCCTGAGAACCTTCCATTTCATGTTTAATTATGCAAATTCTTGCAAACCCAAAATTAACCAATCAACTTCGCTTAGCTCACCTCGCCCGTAAGGACCAACCCCATCAAATCCTCCATACCTGCAATAAGTAGCGATCAGATGTCAGCAGAAAGAAGAACAAAAATAAATAAACAAGATCTGCTTCCCGCTCAGGGTACAAATCCTTACACCATGCAACTGAACCGTTAGAGACTGGGAGCTCAAATCACCTGATGATATCCCAAGCATGCAACTAGCACCAACTTACATGGGTCGGGTAGAGCCCAATGACAGTCTCGACCAGGTCGCATATAAAAATGGAAAGACTTAATAACACTCAAAGGGCAAGGCTCCCCATTAGGCTGCAAAGCAGCAGCAGCTTCATCGGCAAAGATCGTGGCCTGAACCGTCATATTCCTCTTGCTTGCCACTGGATGGGAGCTGTTCTCTGTCTGCCCTACTATTTCAGAAACTGAGCAACTCGGCAAGATGATTGAGAGAGGCTACGTCACTCACTCTCTTCCCTCTGGCAAATGAGTTATGAGAATCCTGAAACAGAGAGCAACTCTGCCTAACTACAACTGCTAAGGAACTGGATTTGCGAGAAGCTGGGCATCCTCACTCTCTCTCAACAGATGCTAGAAGATCGGCAAATATGAGATGTCCTTTCACAATCATCAAAAATCCCTGTATCAACATCGAGGTGTCAGTTACTCCCTAGACTGTTAAAAAACTGGTTTGCCAACCTTCAAGCACATTATGCTTACAAAGAGCAGCTCATAAGAACATCGTCATTATAGACCACCAGACACAGCCATCTTTTTCTAGAGACAGCCGTGTCTAATACCAGACACAGTTGTCAGAGTCTGTTCAAAAGCTGAAATTCTACTTGACAATTCCATGATGACGCGGCCCGTAGAGTTCTGCCAGAAATATCCGAGTAAGACCTGCTAGTGGTGAAGTAGAGCCATAATGTACTTTTTTGCACCAAACCCTGTGACTGTTCTGCGATTTAACGATGTTCGGTTTACCACCGAATGCTGGTGCTGAAATGAGGAAGAGGTCTAACTGTAAATACAGGGTGACATTAATTGTACAGGAGTAAGTTCTATATGAGAAAGAGAGCCGCAAGTCATGAGGCAGTGGAGTATTAAACGTCGCTGTAGGCAATGTGTCGCTTTAGGGAAAGAAGATAGAAACGCTGCAATAGATTGGATATGCCGAATACAACAAAACGGCCAAAGACGAAATGAACCCTTTCAGAATAGAGAAAATGTCACTGAGAGAGTACCTACGATCGTCCCCAGGACTCCCTCTCCGGCCATCAAATTCGTCATCCCTACGACGTTTATACGGAGGAGAGGATCTTCGAGGGCTATGCCGCCGGTCCCTGTAAGAACCACCAGCGGGTGGAGTACCACTCTTTCTGCGCTTGTAATCCCTATCCCTGTCTCGACGGTCCCCATCCCGCCTCCCCCTATCCTCCCTTTCATCTCGTCGATCCCGGTCACGCCTCCTATCGTCGAAACCCCGATCCCTTGAACGATCACGACGGCTTTCTTCTTTCACCACCACCTCCTGAGGCAAGTCCGCCATTACTCTTCCGCAGTTCTGCCTTGTCCAACCACGACCCTCGCACTATCGCCACGCCTCTTCGCACCGTAAATTAAAACAAAATAAAATATAAAATATACTCCAACTCAATTTCTCACTTCTCTCGCAGAAATCCTGTCCGTCAGAGCCTTCAAACCAAAAAGCAACGCAAGCCAACTTGTCTGTGCTCGCCAAAAACCTCGACAGCCCTCTACAAAGCTCCGAAATCGTCTAAAACAATTCCTGTTCTACAGACACTAACAGCTACAAACTTAAAAAATAAAATAAAATAAATAAAAACTCAAAACAAAAAGAGCTCTGGCATCTAGAACGAAGGCCAAGCTAGAAGCGACAATAAAAAAGAGAGGAGCGACAACAAATTCATGGGAGCAGGAGAGCCATGGTGAGTATGGGAGTGCGAGAAACTAAACCCTAAGCCAACAATGTGACAAGATAATAAGTTAAGCAGCTTGAGCTCTTCGGGCAGCTCGACTATTTCTCCTCTGCCCCGACCCTTTATCCTCCTTTCCAGTCCTCTGCCCGGAATATTTTAAAAAAAGCCACCGAAACACTTGCCAATGATAAGTATACACGTGTCATTCGTCCAATATCATACTTGGCATTTCTCATGTTTTTTCTTTCGAATATGAACGCCACGTCATTTTTCTATTTCGTTTTATTTGGGTCTCCAAAACACTTCAATTGAGAAGAAATTTTATTAGGATTTTTTCTTTCTTTTTTTTTTTTTTTTTTTTTTTTTTTTTTCCGAAAGGTATCGAGTTTCAAATCAGGTTGTCTTCTGTGTTGGTGTGATTATTGTTATGAAGTGCCTTAGGGCTCATATGCATTATGACACAGGACAAACAAAAGAACAAGTCATGCAATTTGAAATAAAAAAAAAATCAAATAGTTGGGATTTTGCATACCTAAAAAAATGGAGTTTCACAACTGGTGAATGATATCAAAGGAAAAACGTTTCATTTGAATATAAATGTTGTAGTTTTAAAGGAATTGAAATGTTTGATGTGTTGTTACATCTTTGAGACAATGAAAAATTTCATAGATACAAGGTTTTAATGCCTTGCATATGGTGTTATCAGTATTAATCATATTTTCTCTTAAACAATATTATGTAACTAAGGTAGAATTGATTATAGCATTTATTTATGAATTAAACAGGAATGAGTTTATTTGTTTAAAATTTACCAAGTAAATTACTCAGTTTCAAGATACAGAAGTATTTTATGTAAAGTGTATTATAGAAACACCTCATTATACATGATGTATATTATTTTGAAACAGTAATATAAATTTTATTCATTAACATACAAAAATAATAATAAATATGATAAAATACTATGCATTATGTACACAATGGCAACAAACATAAAGAATATTTAGCACTATGAAAAGAAAAATAAACATGATTTTATTATTTTTATTATTATTAGAACAGATTATTTTTATAATCTAAAACCCAAATACAAGTTTAATAATCTCAACTTCATTATAGATATGATGAAAATAAAATTTTGTAAAAAATATCTTAATTTTAAATTCAAACTTGTACTGAAACAACATATCAAAATTTTAAATTGACTACAGAAGTTGTAACCAATCATAGGAATATAACATGAACTAAGCATTTATGCAACACTCTAAATGGAAATCAAAATATTGCATCATCAAAGAGAAGTACAAAATTCAATATATATATATATATATATATATATACATATGAAATGTCGAAGTAAGATATGAATATTTAAATTTTTTAATTCATAGTAATAGTAGCATTAATTAATAATTTACTGAAACCATATAATTCATGGTGTAAATAAATCAATAAAATGTTGGAATAACTAATAATTAACATCTAAATGCACAGAAATAAAATTTGTGCTTTAGAAATGCTTAAATACACTCAAATTGAATAATGTAATTTTAATCATATTTTGATTTGTTTGGTTTTTTATAATTTAGATACATATTTGGATATAGAATGTTTCTACAGCGTTTTAATTGCTACCTGCTTTTATTATTTATTCTTGTGCATTTTTATAACTTTCAAAAAAAGATGTTGTCTTCTTATTAGTATTTGACCACTTATACAAATTAATAAACTAATTTGCATTCATTTAAGAATAATCAATCAATTATACATATCTACACACACAATATAAATTTTAAAGTAAATTACAATTGTAATTTATTAAAGTTAGGTTAGAATATCGCTTTGCAAGCTTATAGCAAAAACATTTTGTACACACCAATCCTAAATAAATATATTTTGTGATTATACTTAATATATAAAAATACTTATTAAGTAATTATTAATTATTTTTTTCTATTATTTAATACTTAATTTACTACCAAATTACTAAAAACCTCTAATTGAGCAAAACAAAACTTGACATACCCATGTCATATACATTTTCCTAGACATTTTGCATGACTTTGAAATACACATAAACAACAAACACATGTATGTAATAGTGAATCTTATTGCATACTTTTTCTATTCAATAACTTTGATTTTATTTGATTTTAAGTAAATCATGTTGTTGTGTCTAAAATACTTACGTCATTGTTATTGTCTCAATCTAGAACGACAAGTGCAACTTGTATTCTTGTGTGAATTTCAAACTTATGTGGCAACAATGTATGAGGACAAGTGTCACGGACACACAAATACAGATTCGAGATCTAACAAGAAATTCAAGAAGAACTGACAAAAACTAGATTAATCAGATGAATACAAGAACAACATCAAAGAGGTGAGCTAGAGCTCCAAGAGATGTGTTGTCGAGACTGAAGAACTCTTCAACCTCGATTTCAATATATACTCCTATATAGGAAGCTTCTCAAGCAACTTCTACCAACTAAGAAGCTTCTAGAAGGTTCCAAAGACTTGCTTCTAGAAGGTTCTAGAAACTTGTCTCTAGAAGGTTCTAAGTACTATGTCCCTAACATCACCCCCTCCTTTAGCTTCAAGGTCTCTGAGAAGCAATGTTGTTGTTAATCAATACCAACGCAAGAAAATGAAGATCTGTCGCATAACGTCTACTATAAACTCCAACTGTTGTTCACAAGGCAAGTGGTTCATCGGCCCTTGAAGCCAATGGTAGTAGCCCACTCCTTCAACTTCTGACCAAGCATGAACTTCCGTGTCCTCATTATGAAATCGTCCTGCAAACACGCCTTCTCGCTAACCATCATAAGCAAGCTCGAACTCAAATACAATCACTAGTGATCGGTTACTCGGTATCCTTCGTCGTCGTTGTGGTGTAGGCAATTCTTCATCTCGGGGTCGCCTTCGTGAGCTAGTCGGTTGACATAATCTGACTGACATAGTATCTATCTCTTGGCTATCCATATCAAAAGACCAAACTATGGCTACTGAAAAAATTCTATTTTATCTTGGAGAAAATAACTACATCAACTACGAATTTTGGTGGTGCTCTCCTCCTTTCTTATATTCTTGGGTGAGCAAGCTTTAGAAGGAAGCCATCATTGAACCATCTTAGGTATATAAGGATGTTGTTGATGAAACTCATGTACCTTTTGTGGCGCATTGGCAAGATTTTCAGCTGGCTCTCATGTTCGTTCATTAATGTCGTAGCCGCACCAATGAACAAGATACTCCAACTTGCCCCATCTTCGCCATGAATCCAACACCTTTTCAACCTCGTATTCCTCGTGGTTCTCGATCTCAATAGTAGGTGGTGGACATTGCACTCTTCTAGGAAAAGACGACTCTCGATAAGGCTCCAATAGAAAAATATGAAAGACTGGATGTACCTTCATAGAAGCTGATAATTCCACACGGAATGCCACAGGATTGATTTGCTTCTAGATGATAAATGGTCCCAATCTTCGATAGCTAAAGGAGGGGGTGATGTTAGAGACATATTCATTAGAACTTTCTAGAGAGAAGTTTCTAGAACCTTCTAGAAAACAAGCCTCTGGAACCTTCTAGAAGAGAAGCCTCTGGAACCTTTTAGAGAGAAGTTTCTAGAAGCTTCTAGAAAGGAAGTCTCTGGAACCTTCTAGAAGAGAAGTTTCTAGAAGCTTCTAGAAAGGAATCCCGTGGAACTTTCTAGAAGCTTCCTAGTTAATAGAAGTAGCTCGAGAAGTTTCTAGAACCTTCTAGAAAGGAAGCCTCTGGAACCTTCTAGAAGCTTCCTAGTTAATAGAAGTAGCTCGAGAAGCTTCCTAAGTAGGAGTATATATAGGGATCGAGGCTGAAGAGTTCTTCAGTCTTGACAACACATCTCTTGGAGTTCTAGCTCACCTTTCTGGTGTTGTTCTTGTACTCAACTGTTTAATCTAGTTCTGCCTCTTCTTCTTGAACTTCTTGTTAGATTTTAAGTCTGTATTCTGTGTCCGTGATACATGGTCACTTGGTCTTGATATTCCGTCGAAGAAGCCATACTTTATCTCCAATTTTGAAAGTCGGTGCTTGATTCTGAAATCTATATGCAGAAGCCTTGTAAGATTCTTGAGCGAATTGTAATTGAAGCTTCAACGTATTTTGAAGCTCTCATAGTTATTTCGCAAATAGTTAAAATCCTTCAGCTGCTGGATTGTTATTTGTTGACAGACTCAATAAATCAAGCTTCGGATGATACCCATAGTTGAAAAAGAATGGTGTGTATTGAGTCAATGCATGGAGGGTGTTGTTATATGCAAACTCGGCTAGCGACAGATATGCGATCCAATCGTCTTGCTGATAGTTGATGCTGCATCGTAAGTATTATTCCAAGACTTAGTTCACCCGTTCCGTTTGGCCGTCAGTTTGAGGATGAAAAGTCGAAGAAAGCTTGATATCCACCTTCAGTATCTCAAAGAGAGATCTCCAAAACTTTGATACGAATTGGGTTCCTTGATCTGATACGATATCGTCTAGTAGTCCATGATATCGATACACATTATCGAGAAAGAGCCTTGCTGTAGCTTCATTAGACGATGTCTTCTTGTAAGAGACAAAGAGCGCCATCTTTGTAAGCCGATCTACCACGACAAAGATGCTGTCAAATGAATTCGATGATGGCAGGTCCGTGATGAAGTCCATGGAAATTGAAAACCATGGTTGACGTGGAATCGACAATGGATGTAGGAGTCTATAAGGGCAATGTCGAGGATTCTTGGATCTTGAACAGATGTCGCAGGAGAGGACAAAAACTTTCACATCCTTCTACATTTGGAGCCACCAAAAATCTCGAGAAATAAGCTTCAAGGTCTTATTGAATCCAAATTGTCCCGCAGCCAAAAAATCGTGGCGAGATTGAAGAACTCGGAGTCGTGTTGGTCCTTTTTCGAATATATAACCGCTCCTCAAAGTATAAAAGATCTCCCTCCACCTTGAACTTGTTGTCATTGGCACGTTGCTTGATATCAATGGTTACTGAATCTTTAATGGTCACGGCATGTACCTGATTCA